ATTCTAGTCTCGAGAGTTATATTCATGAGAGTATTTGCCTTACGTGTTAGGCGGTGGCGAGTTCGAGATTCAAGTGTGGGGATATCTGCTTCCTGCTTGCCAGGTGAGTCTTCTCACTATACTTTACCTTGAGTAGGTAACCAGAGTTATGTGATTAGAGTATTTGTATGCTATATGTACGTGATGTGTTGTACTGCATTATTTCTATGTGATTTATGTTGTGCATGTTTATAGAGTTGGAACCGGAAGGTTCCCAGAGTTAGAACCTGAGGATTCACAGAGTTTGGGTGCACGGACCCACAGAGTTATAGCCTCGAGTGGCTAATATGTGTTATGTGTGGTTTTTTGGGGAACTCACTAAGCTTCGTGCTTACAGTGTTTTGTTTGATGTTTTTTAGGTTTCTTTCAGTATCACGGGACGGCACCGGCTTGATTGTACACACCAGAGAAAGAGTCATATTTTGGAGGATCCAGGTTTTCTATGCAAGTGAAAATGGAGTTATGTTTTGTAAATCGACTATGAATAAGATTTTAAACAAGTGTTTCTAAGAGTAAAATGATTATTTTAAATGAAAATTTTGTCTTGAAATTTACGGTGTTACATCTTGGGCCCCTCGATGATTTTGTGTTGACTTATGTGTTGGTCCCGGTCAGACTGAATTGATGTGTTTAATTAAGTTCATCGTTAAACAAATCAGAAATTGGGAAACAAACTGTTGGACATTAAGAATGATTCTATTCCATGTCATTTGTCCACATGATATCTTGCAGAACGGAGGATTATATGATCCCTTATCTTAGGACTTGTAACTGACTAGGTCAGAGTATGACAACGATTTTTGAAAGCTACGATTGCTAGTCAAATTTTGAAGTCATACTTGCAATCATAGTTACTATATTTATCCAAGTGGGAGACTATTGGATTAGGTGTCTAAGCCCATAACTATAACTGGTATGTACTTGATTTGATAGTAGTATGGTCCTTTTGGGATGCCTTCATTTTAGCAACTTGACAAGATGAATTTTGGAGAGAGAGATTGATAAATGATTTATTAATGTATTATGAAAATAATATATTAATTAGAAATCATATTATTTACTTAGTATTTAATCAGAAATTAATTTGGAATTAATTTTGGGATTGAAGGAACTAATTAAAGGAACAAGGTTTTTTTTGCAAATTATTGATAGTTGTGAAACTGGGCTATTGGACTCCTTATGATGGAGTGGACGAAAATTATAGGAGGCCCTATAAGATTTTCGTCCAAGGCTCCATAATAAGGGTCCATGGGTTGCTTAAGCATTAAGCAGGAAATTAGGGTTTCCAACTGAAAACCCTAGCAACCCTCAATTATATAAAGACCCCACCACTTAGGGATTTCGGCCTATGCTTGCTAATTGGAACCCTAACCGAAATTCTAAGTGCATTCCCTCCTCTCACCTCTCATCCTTTTGCTACAAGTGTATGTAAGCCATTAGAAGTGCAACATTTGAGGCACTTTGCTTTCAAGAGTCAAGATCCACAAGGTGTTCTTGTTATTACAACATAACAAGCAAGGTAATCTTCTAAACCCTAATTATATATGAGTTTCAAAATTATATGCTAGATCTAGGGTTTTGCTTTGGTATTCAATTTGCATGTTCAACTAGTGAAAAACTTAGATCCAAAGCAATTAGGGTTGCATGATCATATAGCATTTGTAGATATGCTTAAAACCCATCAGATCCTAATATGTGTAGTAGGCCAAGACACCCGGGTCAGGCTAGCAGTATAGTATAGACCAGATGAGGACTAGTTGTATGCTATGGAAGGCGGGCCAGTCATGGAATGGAGGCCAATGAGAGCAGTCTAGGTGTACTGTAGGCCTTGCAAGGCGGTCCATTTAGACTTGAGGCTCGGGAGATTGGTCCAAGTGTACTATAGGCCTTGCGAGACGATCCAATCAAACTGCATGCTCATGTGTGCATGCATTGTATGTATATTGTGGTGTGTGGTATTTTGGGGGAACTCACTAAGCTTTGGTTTATAGTTGTGGATTAAATGTTTTTTAGGTACCTTTGATGATCGTGGGAAGGCAAAGATGTGATTGAACACACATATCAGCAACATTGGGGTTCCGCAGTTATTATATTATTCTAATTTTTAAAGAATTGTATATTAAGCAAATGAATTTTCCTAACTCGGCTTTTATGAAAATGGTGTTTTACCTTAATTAAAAAGGATTTCTTCTGTAAAAATTGGATGTTACATTTTGTATGAATTAAATGTACTGTGATGGTGTGAAATGTATGAAATGGAGTATGGTATTTATAGTCTTTTTTAAAAGAAAAAAATAGGTTTTGAAAAGTAGTCGTTAATTTGAACGTTGGTATATGTCTGTTGGGTTTTTGGGTGTGGTAACCTTCCCTCTTGTGGCGGCTCCACCGCACCACCACATATATATAGGCAATGTCGTGTTCACTGCACCACCACAGGTGACACATAACCCACCGTGGTGTGCACTATCCTCCGGTCTGATCATTCTAAGAATAGATAAGGGTAAATAACTAAAAACCAATTATCAAGAATCATTTTTTAAGGTTACAATCTTTTTATTTGATTCTAAATTTATAACTAGTATTTTTCCTGTTGCACGTTGCGGTGGCGCCATTATGTTTTGTAAATTGAATTTTGATAATTATATTGATAAAAATTAGATAGCGTTGTATTTTTTAAATAATAAATATACAATGTCGATACCACTAACAAAAATGTCGGTGAATAGGATAGACACAAAAATTTAAAAAGTCGAGGGGATGCAAATGACATTTTATAAAGTTTAAAGTTGAAGAGACAAAAATGACATTTAGAGTTAAGGGATGGTAACTATAGAAAATTCATATTATATAAACAAACTTTAATAAAATGGGGGATGAAATTGAAATTTTAACAAACTTTAATAAAATAGGGGGAAATGACTTAGGAGACTATGGAAGTTTCAAATTCGTTCAAAAAACTCATTCAAGTATCACATGTTCAAAAAACATCATCAAACTAAGACATATGTTAAAAAAATATCAACGAAGTACACGTTCTGTTCAAAAAACATCATCTCAATGGTTTGGGGTAACTTACATATTTTGTCCCTAACTTTTTTTTCTTAACTCGGACGGTCCCTTTAGTTTAAATTTGCTTTGACTTCGGACCATGATCGAGTTAAAAGACTAATATACCCTTACTACTTTCATTTAGCATTTTTTTTATTTATATAATTTATGTTATTATTTATTTTAAATATATTAATTGTATAAATAATTAACAAGTAATAAAAATAAATGTTAAATGAAACTAATAAGGGTATATTAGTCTTTTAACTTGATCATTGTCCGAATGCAAAATAAATATAAACGCTAGGGACCGTACGATCGAGTTAAAAGACTAATATACCCTTAGTACTTTCATTTAACATTATTTTTATTATTTATTAATCATTTATACAATTTATGTTATTATTTATTTTAAATATATCAATTGTATAAATAATTAACAAGTAACAAAAAAAAATGTTAAATAAAACTAATAAGGGTATATTAGTCTTTTAACTCGATTATTGTCCGAACGCAAAATAAAATTTCTGTTATTATTTATTTTAAATCTATCAATTGTATAAATAATTAAAAAGTAATAAAAATAAATGTTAAATGCTAATAAGATTATATTAGTCTTTTAATTCGATCATTGTCCAAAGGCAAAAGAAATATAAACACTAGGGACCATCCGAGTTAAGAAAAAAAAGTTAGTGACAATACATGTAAGTTACCCAAACCATAACATGGTGTTTTTTGAATAGAATATGTACTTCGTTGGTGTTTTATGAATATATATATATATATATATATATATATATATATATATATATATATATATATATATGTCTTAGTTTGAGAGTGTTTTTTGAATATATAATATTTGAATGATGTTTTTTGAATAAATTTGAAACTTCTATGGTCTCCAAATTCATTTTAAAAAGCTTTAAGGCAAGGATTGAAATTGTCATAGTCGTAGTGATTGAAATTTCAAAGCAAGGATAAAAAAGTAAAAATTTTACAATGATTAAACTTGACAGGTATTGACTAAAAAAGAAAAAAAATAATTAAGAATAATAAAAATGCCAAAAAAAAACTACCACCGACCTTGGTTTCTAAGGGCGGACTGAATGGGTGCGAGAAAGGGGTGAGGGAAGCTTCCCTCACTCCTGCACACCATTCCGTGGGTGAGGGAAAGAAACACGGGAAAAAAGGTGGGAGAGTGGGTGTCGCACTCTCTCTCCTCATGCTATTGGCCAGTTTTTTTTTTTCTTTTTATCTTTTTAATATTTATAAAATTATATACCTACTGTAAAAATATAAAAAATATATATATCAAAATTCATGGTTTTTAATTCCCTACAAAAATGAGTATAATATATGTATGAAATATATTAAAAAAAAAAAGTAAGGGAATAGCTTCCCACCAATTCCTTCACTTTTAGGTGAGGGAAAGAGGGGTATGGTCCACCAAAAGTGAGGGAAGAATCCCTCGCACACCCTCCGGTCTAACGGGAAGGTAATAATATATGTTTATAAATAGAGTAAATTACTAAATTTATTTAATGGAAATGGAATTTATCTTCAAAAAAAATTACTAAAATCGTCTCTATGGTTTGGTCAAAATTGTTTGGTTCCTAACTTTTTTTTGACATTCGGATCGTTCCTGTGATTTGATTTCGTTGCGTTTTTCGTCCCTACGGTTTGGTCAAAATTACACGTTTGGTCCCTAACTTTATGTATGTAAGGGACGAAAAACGCAACAAAATCAAACCACAGGGACGATCTGAAAAAAAAATAGAAATCAAACGTGCAATTTTGACCAAACCATAAGGACCATTTCAGTAATTTACTCTTATAAATATAAATTTTAAAAGTAACATATCAACTTAAGTAGATACAGTATGATCTTTTCACAACATAAAGTAAAATACGTTGATTCAATAAATTTATAGAGATTGAAAACTATCTTCGATATTAAATGCCTTTTCCTCTGTTTTCTATACTCTCTTCCACTATAAATGCGTTCCCTTCTCCTTTTCAATGCCAATCCACTCCCATTCCTCTACGTTATTCCCACCTCCACCGATCCCCTCCGTTCCTCCCGCATCTTACTCCAGCCGGCGAACACCATGCCTGATTTCCAAATCGAGACTCTTCTAAATCTCATCAACAGAATCTTCTCAGCGTTTCTCACTTGCGCCTTCGCATTAGGTTCGTTTCTTCATTCTTCATTCTTCCCCTAAATCCAATTTCACAATTCGATTCAGAAATTTCATTAACGAAATTGAGTATACGATGCAGGAGGAGCACTTATCGGAATAATCACCGGCGCAATCAAAGGGCAAACGACGGAAACGGGGCTACTTCGTGGAGCCGGTGTGGGTGCAGTCACTGGTGCGATAACAGCGTTACAGATCATGGATATGATGGCTAATGGCGAACCATTTTCGAAGGTTTTTGACTTTCGTTTGTACTTTGTGCAGTTTAAGTTGTATTGTCAATTGTGCTTAAGCAGCAATTAACGAACTTGTGGTTGTTGTACAGGTAGCACTGCTGTGTAGTCTTCTAAATGGGAAAGTGTTCGTTGAGTGGGTTAGTCCAGCTATGCTTAAAGCTTATCAATGGCAGACGAATGCAATCGAGATGAGTTTGGTTGACATGTTCGACATTGAAACCACTGGGACAAGAGGATTATCGGAAGATGCTTTTAGCAGATTACCAAAATGCCGATTTGCAAATCGAGTTAAGATTAATCAAAGGGAAGATGAATTCAATGATATAAACTGTGCGATTTGTTTGCAGGATTTTGAAAACGAAGAAGAAGGAAGAGAGCTACCAAGTTGCAGACATGTATTTCACTTAGAATGCATAGACGAATGGCTTATTAGGCAGGGTTCTTGCCCCATCTGTAGAGGCGACGTTTAACGTTTAATGTTCATTTGTCTAATACAATTATAACAGAATTAAAATAAAGGCATAAACATGTTGCATTATTTGAGACAATTTCTTGTTTATAATTAATATATATATATATATATAAGAATTTGCAGTATATTATATACAATATATTCAGTCTATTTTTAAAGGATGCATCTAAATTTAAATGTATATTAAATGCTGACGTAATACGAACAGAGAGTGAGTAATAAATGAATGTATGCCACTTAAAATGACGCAAACATGAAAACGTGAACCGTGGGATTTTGTTTTTTCAAGTATGAATCATAAAATCGAGAATATGCGATTTTTTTTAGCAATTTATAAATTAAAATAAAATGGATTTAAAAATGACAAAATAGACACGCCTAAACTAGTTTAATAATGCTATTATTTTGTTAATGATTAAAAATGCATTGAAGGTTAAGTGAATATTCAGATACGTGCATGAGAAGAAAATGATGGCATGACCTCGTTTTTCGGCCGTTGAATTTTGATGATGTTAGATATAAATCATTTTCAATGTTAAGTTGAACTGTACATGATTTTTATGTATTAAAACAAAGGCTGTAAATAATTGGAGGTGTGGCTTAATTGCAAGGTCATGTCTTTAGTTTAGGAGCCGAACCCACGAAGTTTCTAAAGATTTAACTTCGGATGATAATTATGGAGCATCCGATTAAAAGAATTGATGGTTAAGGTCGAAGGAATGGTGTCGTTTTATCATATGTTTTTTAACATAAAAGTGTGGTTTTTGCCACACACTAGCCACTAGGTGTGATGTTATATTTTTTTTAACAATTTAATTAAATAAAATTTTCAATTTTAATAAAAAAAAACATAACAACTCATTACATCAAAATTTTAAAAAAATAATAATAATAATAAAATCTTATGTTGTACTATATAGAAATAAATAAAAAACATGACATTAAAAAAATCTAAACACTTCGAAAATAAAATAAAAAACTAGAAATTTTAAACCTACAAAATAAAAAAATATAAATAAATAACACACACAACAAACAAACGATTAAAAATGGCTAGAAATTTTAAACCTACTTAGCGTGACGTTTTTTAACGTCGACCTTCATCGTCAAATCAATTTCAAGTTCATCATCGGTCATGCACGATGTGTCCATCATTAGTATTTGCATGTTACTATTTTTTTGTTTCTGAAACTTTCTTTCAAAAGCAATTTGCCAAAAAAAATCGTTCTTCGTTTTATATCATTCGTATCGTCCCCTATTTAGTTCAAGTCATCGGAATCTATCGCTTTGCATTTGTCTTTGCCTTTTACTTTGTCTCATCCCATTGGTCGGAAAAATGGTGTAACTTGAACGGATTCATCATCGTTGAGGTCGAACCCAACACGAGCATTTGATGTAGTGTAGTCATATTCAGATGTTCTTGAGAGCTTTGAACCACTATCGATATGTTCATCGGTTGTTTTGCACATTTTCCAATTTTTTGTTATCTTTTATGATATTTCGAAACTCAATAAACTTGAACGCCTTCTTATTTTTTTGATGGTACACTTTTAGAGTTTTCTTCAAAATCATTTCATCACTCTCTATACTTTTCCATTGACGTTTCATTTTGTTATATAAATCATTAAACAACATGACTTCTTTGTTTGTTTTACCCCCATTTGAAGTACACTTGGTGTTTTGAACGATATTCTAGAAGATTCATGCCTTTGTAGAACCTTTTTGTAACTCGCCTCCAAAAATGGTTATGTTTTTTGTCTTTATGTCTTCTCATCTTCTGAAATATCGTCTCATGATTGTGCCAATACTAACACTTCTTCGGGTACCCATCATTTGGCCGCCGCCATCTCTTTTCTATTACTTGGTGCTTGAGTGCGTTGGGTTCAAGGGCGGAACACAAACAATCAAACTAGTGAGGCCGAAAACAAAGCTTCAAAGCAAAATCAATATAAATAAGTATAATGTTATTAAATTTATGACAAATCAAAAATATAAATAAAAAATTATTATATGTAACATCCCGACTCTCAGGTATAATATTTATATATTTATTTATGAGTTGTTTGACCAACTCGACGAGTTGGATGCCCTAAATCGTCGAGTAGAGGTGGATTGATCACGTGGGTTTTATGACCAACTCGGCGAGTTGGCGCTGTGAGAGGAAACCTTATCTTCGGGGTTGGGTCCTATTTAAAGGACCTTAAGCCCCCATTTCCGTCTCACCAGCCACCTTACTCCTTTTTGTGAAACCCTAATCGCCTATATTGAGCTAAGAGAGAGAGAGAGAGAGAGAGAGAGAGTCTTTGGGCATTTTAGTGCACTTTTGAAGAGAAGAGTGGAGTATCAAAGCAAGGAATGAGAAGAGACTGATGGATCTGGTGTTATTTCATCTAGAGCTTATGTTGAAGGCAAAAAGTCTCTACCTTGCTCATGAGTTTGATTAGATCTTATTTTATGGAGTTTTAGAGCTTATTTCATCTTTCCTTGAGACTTTGAGTGTGTTGAGCTTACCAAAATAGTGACCGATTTTGGTGAGCTTCATGTTACTTATACAGTATGTTACAATTAGGGTTACACCATGTAAACCATAATGTGACATGACTCTTCATTTCCATGATCAATGGGTTTACACCTCCATGGAGCATCCTATGTGTCTTAGCCCAACTTGATAATCCATGGAGCATTTAGCCCACTATACAAGTATGGATGATTCACACAATCAACCCATATATTTAATTAGTCACCTTTTTTATCACTTAACTAATTCTAAATTAATTCTTGATCAATACTAATTAAATAATATTATTAATATCTTGGAACTTATAATATATTAATAAACCATAAGTGTTATTCCTCTCATTTTAGTCTATCCAAATGCATGATGTCATGCAACCCAAATGGACCATACCAAACCAGGTCAAGTACATACCAGAAATAGTTATGGACTTAGACACCTTATCCAACAGAGCAATCATACACACAAGCGGCAGCTACAACGACTCCTCACACTGAACACATTCTAACCAACCATAATCACTATTTAGGGTAATAACCCACAAATAAAGGTCCAAGTCATAAACCCTCTCACAAAGGGTAAAAGACCCTTTTACCCTTCGTACTTCGGGCCCAACAAGCTATGAACCAAGGCCCAAAATGACCCAAATGGGCTTTAGGTGAGTACGTCATGCATACACCCTGTGTATGCCTAGCATATTGAACCTTCATCGAATGGGTACACGGGCTAAACCCGTTACGTCGTACGTACCTAGAGGGTATACCTAGCGTACTCGCCAACTGCCCATATTTTTTATTAAGCTCTTAATGTTTAAAGATATTTCATCCAACTCAGAGATCTTAACCTCAGGAATGTTTTAACTAATAAATTCGACAACTTAATGCCTTTTCATGGCTCAATGAGGCACAAATTCAAACCCTAAGTCCAAAGTACACTCTAATGTCCAAAATATCATGTCTGGATGAATGGGAGTGTCCAAGCTCCGATTTTTATGACTTCATCAACTTAGAAATGACCAGAAATGACATTCATGACATTTAGAGTAACCCATACCTCAAAAATCCAAATCTTAGGACCAAAAGCATAACATAGCATGGACCAATTCTAGATCTAGAAAAAGAAACATAAAGGTACAAGCTTTATACCTTCATAAGCTTGCAAGGATGATTAAAGTTCTGGATGTAGGAGCTTGATCTTCACCAAGCTTCAATGGTGGACTTCTTCTTCTTCTAAGAGTACCAAAAACCCACAACAACACTCAACGGTCACAAACTTTCACAAATGGGGGCTAGGGTTTCAAATAATAGCTTTGGGTGAAAGGAGGTTGAGCATGAAGAGGCCATAGGGGGACATAAGGTGTTTAAATAGGGCTCAACTCAAAAAATTAGGGTTTGCCACTAGCATGAGTACGCCCTACGTACCCATATGTACGCCCGACGTACTCAAAGAAATATGTGTCCCTTGTTAATGAGTTACACCATGCGTAAGGACTAGATTTGCAAAAATATTTAAGTTAAGCCATAAATTTGAAAGGTTCCTAAAAGACGAGCGTTACAAATTACAAACACCACATGTACATATTGCTCACATAAGGAAGGAGTTGTTGGGAATATTCTGATTTGGTGTCCATTGTCGGTTACAGTATGGGAGTGGATCTTCAAATGGTGTAATATTCCTGACCCACAATTTGACACCATTAGATAACTCATCATTTTCGCGAAGAACTGGGGAAGATGCCCAAATAAGAGAAATAATATCATAAGTGTATGCAATGGTACTATATGGTTGATATGGAAATCAATATGTTATTGAGTATTTAAAAACATTTGTATAGCTCTAACTAAGATAGCAGATAATGTCAAGTACCTAGTGTATATGTGGGTAAAACATAGGAGATCATATTGTCACTATAAGTGGGTTAAATGGTATGTATGTCTACTTAGATGTTTATAAAATCAAAAAACTATGATGTAATCTCCTTTTCCCTATTTTCTTCTTGCCCCGCGTAGCCACTTGCTCGGAGATGGCCTTCTATAATATATTTGTTGGTTCCAAAAAAATGTATTATCATCCTCTTCATCTTTCTCTTTCAAATTCCATTTTCCACATTGTATCAATTTTTAATCGACCTCATTTTCTTTTGTTTTTGATAATTCTCTTGTTTTTAGGTTCCTTTTATTCAAAGGAAAATTAGACAAATGAATATACTACGGTCTGATTAATTAGTTGCGGTATTTAGATTTAGGATTATATGTTAATAAAGTTGTTGAAAATGATATTACAATTGATTGATTGTAAAATAGCTCTACACATTAAAATCATAAAACTACAAATATCATATAAATAGAAAAATATATTTTTGCACATAAATTATACACTACAAGTGTTATAAAGTTGTTAAACAAGGATTTTTGCTTTAAAACATAGTTTCACTTCATAAATCTTTAGATTGATGCAAACACTGTGGTTAGAGAGCATGTGGA